ATATAAAATATGATGGTTGTGATGATGGCTAATGTGGGTGCTTGTGAATGCCTATTAAAGACGCTGGTTGGTAGTGGTTCTGGATGGTAGCTAGTGGTGATTAGTCGCGACCGCGATTATAGTTGAGGATGGTGGTGGTGGGTGATGATAGTTAATAATGGTGGGTGGTGTTAGTAGTTGTGGTTGTGATTAAGGAAGGTGATGGTGGGTGGTGGTAGTTTATAATGGTGAGTGATGCCGGCTATGGTTGTTGATAGTGATGGGGGTGGTTGGTTGTGGTAGTTGAGGTAGGTGAGTATGTGGTTGTGGTTGAGGATGATAGTGGTGGGGGTGGCGGGTGGTGGTAGTGGTGGCGGCTATGGTTGAGGATGGCGGTGGTAATGGTTGAGTATGATGGTAGTGGTAGTTGATAATGGTAGGCGGTGGCGGCATCTAGTAACAAATATGGATGATAGCATCTTAATGAAACTAAATCTTTGTTATACATCTTAATCATACAGGCCTATTCAGACTCATTAAGTAGTTGTGAATTAAGAAAAACAAACACACTTAATGATTAAAATCTGAATGATTAAGATTAAAATTTTAAAAACAAAGACACTTAATATTTGGGCTCTGAACCAGTAAGATTCAGACCTCTACTGCATGAAAATAAATTAGGCCCAAGTCTTTTTCGTCTCTACCTTAAGATATGCAAGAAAAGTTACAACAGACAAGAGTTGCTCATCTAAAAAACAGTTCCCACCAGCGCCTCTAATGCTGCCACTTTTTCTTGCATTTCTGCGTTGCCACCAGCCATGTTCACGAACAACACTGTCTTTGTCATGAAATTCAGCCACTTAACGTCATGATTTTACATACCATTTATCTACAATCTCTCATGCATTTTGAGAACCAAAATTGACCATTCGAAAACACCATTTTTCATGACTTTCTTCGCTGAGACGAGGAAATTGAAAAGAAGTGGTGCATTATTTGTCGTGACTCTAATACTACCATGTTAGAGGAGGAGGAATAGTTGAGGAGATAAGAGGATTGTCGGAGAAGAGAAGATCGAAGAGTATAGAAGAGACAAGTTCTTCAACTTTTCTTATTGCAAATAGCCACTAGGACAAAGAGGGTTATTTATAGGTGTTAAAAGAGAATTCTAGAACAATTTTTAGATAAATTTTATCACCTAGAAAATACAAAGGAGAGTCTAGAGGTTTTTCTAGATAAGATTATTCTAGGCTAAACTCAAACTTAACAGCTAGAAAATTCTTAATTACAATATTACATTTACAACTAATATATCGATGACATTCAGTTGACGATAGATTATTAGTCTTTCTATATCATAAATATTTGTATAATTAGCACTGTGGTAAAGATCTTACAGTGGACAAAATCAAGAAACCTTCCTACCAAAATCTGTAACTGTGACTATTAATAAAATTTAGTTTGTCATTTCCAAACTGAGAAGATCCCTCTTGTATGATCGACAAATATGTGCCACAATTGAGTATGATGAAACTAAGAGGTATGATGAGGGAGATAATTAGCATAAAATCAATCTATAATTTTGCATTTTATGAGATTGTTAATTTTCGACCTAATTTATGACCAAACGATGTACCGGGTAAAACTATAAAGAATATCTCATCGATCATCATAAATATGTTAATAATCCACTTTTTGCATATAACTATTGCAACACTTTCATCTTCTTTTTTATTTATATTTTTTTTAAGTATGGCTTCTTTCGATATTGATTTCATATGCAGCACTTGAAGCATGAGACAGCTAACATGGCAAAGAAGATAGAAATCCTTGAAGTTTCCAAACGGTTATATATTCTCTCCGCTTCTTCTTCAAACTATTTGGAGTATTTACTTAAATTAATGTTGAACTTATTAAATGCCTTAATTAGGAAGCTGATGGGCCAAGGCTTAGGGTCATGTTCAATGGATGAACTACAAGAGATTGACAGCAAGCTCGAGAGGAGCCTGGAAAACATTAGGGCCAGAAAAGTACTATCAATTAATTAATCTTATTCTGCAATATGCACTTTGATTCCTTTTTCTTCCTTATTTCTTGTCTGCAATATCAGACCATTTTATCCAATATTTAGGTGTTTTCGCAATAATCATATATTAACCTGTTCCTTCGTTGGTCATTTTCTAGGCTCAATTATTCAACGACGAAATAGAAAGCCTAAAAGCCAGGGTATGATGAACAGTTGATGCATTTTAGGGTTTTACTTCTTTGGTAAATTAATTGTTTTCTGATATATTTTTTGTCTTGTTCAGGAGAGTCTATTGCTCGAAGAAAATAAAAATTTACGTGAAAAGGTGACCTCTCTGATATTTGCTACTCCTACAATTATTTAATTGACATACCATGTGATATAGGATCCCGTTAAGTTTTATTTCAAGTTTAATTAATACCATATGATATAGTAATCCGTTGCATATTCCACAATTCGTTTTCCCCCTAGACTATTAGTTGAAGAAATTAAAATGCATAGTCATTGGACACAGATGTCCAAGGGGAGTCGATTCGTCAGCAAAGCCTGTACATAGGTTAATTTTGTATATAACGATATATACCAGATGTTGTTTACTTCTTTATAGTTGAATATTAGCTTTAGTGAAAATCCTGACTTATTGAACAAGCAAACTGAATCTATAAGGATTTCTTCTATATATTCTAATTAGCAAAAAGGGGTAATGGAATTGTCTGAAGTTGTAGTTCAATTGCATGCAATCCCATTTGGAAAGAGTTAACTTTGCTACTATGGCTAATCATACCGGTAATAAAGAAGTGATGTTCCAAAATTTGCTGTGTTAGAGGGCATCCTACCTTGATTATTCTTTATTTTGGCAAAACGAAGTTATAGTATCAAATCCCGTTTGACTAAATCATAAGGATTTATTGTACCTTGCTTTTCTGAAATCTAACATTTGTGCAGTTATACAAAGTGTATAAGCATATATAGGTTAATGCAAGTGTTTATGCATGTAAAGCGTTGAGTATTATCATGATTGCATAGTGGTTTTTACTCAATTTCCATTTCTATACATTTTCTCAATATCTACCAGTGCTTCGGTCTTAGTTTTATTTGTAATTAATATTTCCGACTACGCGTAAGTTATGAAATGTAGCCAGCTTATATCATTGTGGCTTCGTTATACTAATTAATCATGTGTTTATTAATTTATACAGTTTGTTAGACTAATATTTGGAATTATGTTCTCATTTGCACATTTGAAAAATCATATATCAACACAGTGCCGCCTAATGCCAACGCCATCAGCACCACCACCACCACCACCAACTCAGCTGAAAGAAAGGGGAAACTGTAGCAAAAATACTCAGAATTTGGAGGTGGAGACTGAATTGTTTATCGGCCTTCCTGCAATGCGCTGCTCATAGCCGCTGGGACAATTAATGGGATATATTTCGATTTGCACAATTGCATACATATTTAGGGCTTTCCTCAGTAACATAACATAGAATAAATGGCTAGCATTGCTCCATTGTTTACACGCATAAGGGCTTGCAAATTCAACAAATAAAACATTCCAATAGAGGCAATCTTTTCCCCTTCTTTTTTTTTTTTTTTTTTGGGTTACCTTTTTGTTGTTTAGCAAGTGTAACTACATTTCCCTGAACAACAGTCATATAGAGAAGTCTGATTTGAGTTGCATATTTACAATATCGTTTCTTTCTTTTGTTTACGTTTTAAACTCAATTTTCTGATGAAATTGTTTTATGGTCATATTCGACAACTGGGAAAAAAGATAGTAATGTTTACTTGCATGAATAAATATTTGGAAACACTTCTAGGATCCATCGGGGAAGATCCACAATGTAACATGTAGGTTTATACGTGAATCTAATAGTTTTTAACCAAACTTTATATAAATATAAATAATTAGATACATCGAAAAGTCAAGGGGAGTCAACATATTATAAATATACATAAAATAAAAAAATTTATCTAGCAATATATTTTAATTTTCCGGCGAAGGGATATCGCTTGACACCCCTAGGTTCAATATGGCTCCGTCACTATATATA